AAAAAAAAAAGAAAAAAAATAAAGAAACCTTTTCCCCACAGCTTTTTAAATTGGTTCCGCCCGTTTTACACGTATACGTACAATCAACAGGGGGTGGAAGAACGTCTCGAACCGATATTGGATCCCGGATCGATGTTTGCATGCGGTGACAGGATTATGTTTGACTCAGCGAATCAGTGCCACGGCCATTTGTCACTTCGAGATTAAATAGAGAGCCCAACTGTCTTGGAGGAGGCGGCGAATGGGGCACGGTACAAGGGTGATTATTAGGCATCTCTGCCTCTGGCTCATCCCCACGTTCGCTCTTATTTCTTTCTTCCTCTTTCCCTCCTTCCTCCTTTTTTTTCGTTTCTTCTTCCTCTTAACGCTGGTTAACTGCGTTACAACCCCCATCGAGAGATAAGACATCTCCCAGAGAGAGAGAGAGAGAGAGAGGATTCTGGTCCCTGGTCGTTGAATTAGCATGCGTCGGTCGCGATGATATTTTTCACGGCGAGACACGTACGGTTTCCTCGACAAATTGTCGCCAATGGGCTCCAGATGGATATTTGCATTTGGGGGGCGCGGGAAGGAGGTTCCGGGAGTTTTTTTTTTGCCCCCCTTCCCTCCGCTTGTTCTTGTTCGATCGGAGTCACCTATTCAAAGTTTATCTTATGCGGTTAGGTTTATTTTGGGGGACGTTGGAATTTTTCTCGGTAACTCTTGTTTATTATTCGAGATTATTATATTGCTGGTTGGATCAATTTTCATTTATTATTTGTATTATGTTAAATAATATCGATATTAAAAGTGGTAATAATAAAATATAATTAAAGTTTTATTATATATATATGATTTAAATGAAAATGCATTTTGATGATGGATTTTTTTTAAATTTCGTTAAGATAAAGATTTTTTTTTTTGGAAGATCGAAACTGAAGCAGTTCTCGAAAGCGAGATAAGAGTATTATTTGCGAAGAGATTGCGGATGATGACCTAGACATCTTGACAATTTTTCGTTAGGCTTGGATACGCTGAAGAATTGATAAACTCGAGTACTAACCCAATTCAAACCACTTTTTCCTCTATCGTAATGTATTGATATGTTTTCGTTATCCGAAGTGGTTCTGAATCATCCGATAGGTCACTTGTATTTTTATTAAACAAGCAGAGAGCGAAGAATATAATTTATCTAATGAAGTTCGTATTGAAATTTCGATCACAATATTTGTATCGTTGGATTTAATGTTTAAAAAGAATCATTATATGTTAAAATTAAATATTGTGTTTTCGTTATATATTAAAAACAATTTTACCACGATGAAATAATACAAATTTTATTTTCAAACTCTCATTAAATTTAATGCATTTTTTTTTTTTTGAAACCAATTCTTTAAAAAAATTTAATCAAAATAAATGTTTTTCAACTATGAAATCCTTTCAATCGGAACCTTTATTTGGAACCTCTTTTTTTTCCCGACACTTTTTTCTCCACATTTCCACACGTGACCCATCCATTCTCTTTTCATCTCTCCTTTCTATTTATTTTCTTTCTTCTCTTCTTTCTCTTTCTCTCTCTTTTCTTTGTTTTTTTTTTTTTTTTTTTTAATTTCAATTCGATGTGACATTCGAAACGGTTCGGCATTTCGAAAAGTTTCGATGGCACACAGCATCTGCCCGTTTTTCCATGCGACGCGTACAGCCCCAGCAAAAATCACGCACGTGAAGGTGGGGTGCATAAATTATAGCCGAACGCCATCTTTCTCCCATGGCGTGCCGATTGGACGACGAATGAAAAAAATATCCATCCCTCGGCCCAAGTGCTCCTACACACGGCCCACTATTCTCACCCCGAATACGCGAAACACCCTGGATCGCGTGCGCCATTTTCCTTCGCGGGATTTCCACCCCCGATTTCCGGGCGCGCTCCATTAACTCGAGAAAAACATATCCATCGAATCAATCGATTGCCCCGAATTATGAAGAAATTAACATTTTTGAAAGATTTAAAGAAAAATTCCTTATCTCATAGTGTTCTGAAATATTTTCGTTGAATTATTTTGCTGTAATGCAATGTACAAGAAATAATCATTGTTTCAGGTAATTTTTGTAAATATTTTTGTGAGAATTGTTATTCTTTTTTGATATATTATTCTGATGTTTCTGTGAAAATTCTTTTTTTTCTTTTCCAGTGTTATAATACGATTATCTTTCGATGATAAGTTCTCTTGTATTATATTTAATTTGTATTATTCTTCGGTTAGAGATGATTTACGATCGATATGATTTTTATTCGCTCGTAAAAAGAAATTTCACATAACTAAGGGAATAATTAAGGGTTTTATCGTTATTAA